CTGTCCACTACCATGGGCACATCCTCGCCCCTGGGGCAAGCCTCCTTTCCTTGGACTCAGGATGGAGCCCCTTTCATCCTCCTTCCTCCCTCTTAACTTGAAATTATTACACACTCACACACATACACACACAAACACACACACTGCTTGACCTATATGGGCAAGCCTGGCTGCCCCAATCTGGGATGCCTTGAACCTGGGAAGCACACTTTTCATCCTCCCTCCTCCTTGTGCAGTTTGCTTGTAGCAACCTGAAATTATTACACACACACACCAATTCAAGCCCTGTCTAGCCACTGCAGGTGCCCTGCTTCCCCAGGGTGCCCTGATGTCCTGCTTTTCCAGGACCTGCCCTACATTTCAACCTTCTGTCCAATAGGAATTCCCAAAGGTCCTCCATTCTCAGCACGACTGAAAAGAAGCACATATTACTGTTTCTGTCAATGTTTTTAGCTTTTAGTCTATAATGTCCTCTATTTTTTTCTTGAATATCCTACATTTTGGGATGCTTTGCCCTCGTTTTAGGGTTAGGACATCTGGTCACCCTGAAACCCTGGACCATGGATCTGATCCTTTTTCTCTTCCCTCCTCCTGGTACAGTCTGCTTAAAACCAGTGAGGAAGGCAGCACCTCTTCTATCTCCCCAAAGACTCTCAAGTCTCTCCTGTGTCTCCTGGCACTGTGTTTTATTAATCCCTCATCTTGGAAGCCTCTTGAAGTTTCCACGCTTATCCCCAAACTGGTCATTCTCATTGGGCAATTGTCTTTTATTACCTCTGTTGTTCCTATATGATGCTGACCCCAAATAAAAGTAACCTAACCCTCGCATCATTAACCCTTTGTTTACCTGGAGGGGAGGCTATACCCCTCAGTTGGGTTCCCCAAATAAAGGGAGAGCTATAGGTTTTTGTGAATTTTTCAGGCTGTGAGGCCATGTTCTAGAATAATGTATTCCTGACATTTCACCTGCATCTGTGGCTGGCATTTTTAGAGATCTTCTCTGAAGATACAAGACACCGATGTAGGTGAAACGTCAGGAATACATTCTTTTAGAACACAGGCTCACAGCCTGAAAAACCCACAAAAACCTATGGATGCCGGCCACAAAAGCCTTCGACTTCACATGGGAGAGCTCATTATCACAGTCTGTTAATGTTACAAAGGTTGCAAAATAATAAATAAATGACAAGGTTTCTTGAGGGGGATTTCTCATCCTGTGTTCCAGAACAAAAAAGGCCCTGTTTCATATCCTCCAAAGGCAATGAGGTATAAAGCAAGATTTTAGCATGTCCACATAACTGAGGGACAGGTTTGAATATCTGCTCCAAATCCTTTTAAGGGTGGTTAAGAACACTGAGGAAAAGGTCCTAAATACCCTGGATTGATTTGCTTGATTTGATCATGGATCCATTTATTTTGTCTTTTTAGCAGCCCATAGTATCCACACAACTCTCTTCCAGCTCCACATTTCAAATGAGTTGATTCTTTTCCTGTCAGCTTTCTTCACTGTCCAATTTTGACAGCCATACTTAGAAATTGGAAATATGATGGTGTACATTTTCCTGAACTGGGTGTTTAATGATACAAGAAGCATGACGAGTTGACTCAGCATTAATAGCAGGTATATAAGTAATTCCAGGGCATTTAAACATAAAGCAAGTTCATATCATCATCTGCCTGGAATCGCATTCACACAGCTCTTTGGGAAGTGATTCATATTCAAATTATAGCCTCTTTGTACATTGTCACCTTCTTTCCCTAGGCATCAGAAAGAAATGTGGGTTGAACTGGCATTTGAAAGTAGGAGGAAAGTTCAGCTGCCTTTGACAGATTTTTTTTTTAAAAAAATGGAGCACCATTGTGATTCTTGGAAACCCCTTGTGCCTCCTCTGTATCACAACATATTCTCCCCAAAAGGATAGTAAAATAATCCTGCTAGGAAACAATTTTGTAATGTAAAAGAGGACTCCTCAGCCTTAATCCAAAATGGAAGTGCTCCTAGAGTACAGTAGTATCTCATAGGGTTTGATTCCAGGACCTCCCGTGGATTCCAAAATCCTTAGATGTTTATTCTACTAAATACAATGCCATAGTAAAATGCTATCCCTTATATAAAAAGGTAAAAGCAAACTTTGCTTTTTGAAATTTATATATACACATATACCTGTATTTGAATATTTTCAAGTCATGGATGGTTGAATCCGTGAATAAAGAATCTATAGTTAGAGAGGGCTGACTGTATCTACAAATATACAGTTAGAGCAGTTTGATACCACATTAGCTCTCACAGACCATTCATACACAATGCTGAGCTCTGTAGTTTGGTGATGATTTCTCTATGAGAGAGCTCTAGTACAGTCCCTAGAACTGTAGTACTTGGCTGAGATGTGCCCTCCATCTGAAGAGTAATCTAATCTACCAGAAGTTCTACTCTGAAAATACCACATTCGCTGGGCAGCTTTCAGTGAATTATTTTCCCAACTCTGGGTCCCCAAATATATTACATCTCCCATTTTTCACAGCCAAGACAATCAATACATGTGGGTCATAGATATTGTAGTACAGCATCAGTGGACCTAAAGTTGGGAAAGACTGATCTAAAGACCAAATTGGCTTCTGAGAATCTACACATGATCTAGATTTCATAAGAAGCTAAATCCATTGTTAAGCTTAATCTATCTACACATTCTGAGCATTCCCTAGCACTGAAGTGAATGGGAAGCCAGAGTTTATGTGAATCTCCATATGTGCATCGGAGCCTTTGGCTCACAGGAAGCCTGTTTTCCCTGCCACATTAGCTCTTATATTAAAACTCTATAAAATTAGCATCACTTTTACACAACTCCTTATGTGTCTGGTAAATTAACAGTATTGTAAACTGTGAAGATGGCTGTTAGATGCTTGTTTTCTTAATTGCACATTAGCCAATTTGTTATTTAAGAACAGTTTTTGAAAAAAAAGTACAGCCAGGGTCTTAGAAGATTTACTTTTATAGATTTTAGAGTGTTATGTGATTAATAGATTGGATGTTTTTGTAGTAACAACTCAAATTCACCAATATTTTGATTTTTTTTTTAATTTATGGCACTTGTATGAATATTTAAGGGTGATTATTTTATGGAAGCAACTAGTTACAAATAAATAGCTGTTTATAATTAATGCCTTCACCCACCCCAGTAATGAAGTTATAAGTATATCATATTTTGATTGTAACTTAATGGAGAATACCATCACTCTTTTTGCAATATGATTCTGCTTTTCCCCAGCTATTTTAATGATTATGGTGTCCCTCATGAAATGGTGAAGAAAGATATCACATAATTCATGTATTGACACTTTGCAATCTGTTGTGATTGTTGAAGTAATGATGCTGTGGATGGGAGAAGAATGTGTTTTGTACCAGAGGGAAATGACTTGCAGCCTTTTGAGTTTTTTAAAAAGTAACTAGAGATAACTAGTTACTTCTCAGAAATGGAAAAACTGTAAAGAAATGTAAAACTTTTAAAATAGTAACAGTAATGGGATCTAACTATGTTTGGGGGCCTTGGAACTATTAAAAAGTACATTTCCAATACTTTAATGATAGTTCCAATGAAGCTCAATGCTTAAACCTCTTTATGTTTTTCTCCATGTTGGCTGAATCAGAATTCCCTTTTTATCATACTCATTTTATATGATCTTGGTTGAATAGTTGCATTTGACCATCTCTGTATTCTCCTTCCAAAGGAAGGATCTCTGATTCTCCTCCAGGTCTAAGGACGTTATCATACAGGGTCTAAAGCAGTGCCATCCCCGTCGCATCCCCATCCCATTCCACTTCCTTTTCCCCTGTGTTCACACGACGTTGCAGAGAAACCCCGCCCATCCCCGTCCCATCCCTATCCCATTGCGGTTCTTTTCCCCGTGTCTTCACACGACGTCGCACCCATCCCCGTCCCATTGCGGCATCATCCGGCATCATCCCCGTTCTTTTGAATGCCGGATTCTTTTGGGAATTACATTTCTGCCGCAACCAGAATGATACCGGAATGATGCTGCTTTCTTTTTGCCGGTAAGTTCTGGATTGAAAAGGAACCACAATGGGACGGGGATGCGACAGGGATGAGACTGCTTTAGGCCCCGTGTGATAACGTCCTAAGTTAGAGCTAAGTATATTCCAGCTGGGTGTTCTCCTGTTGTTTCAATGGATCTTGAAGCTGAAAACATAGCAGTTTCAAGCATTTTTAAAAAATGTTGTGACAAAAGGCTCATACAGCTTGTGTTTTATTCAGAACTAAGTCCCACTTTTAAAATGTAATTTGGAGAATTCACCCTAAGGATCTCCATGCAGAAGCCAGTATTACAGACTGTCATCCCAGCTAAAAGTGTAGATGGTTCAGACATTGATTTTAGATAACAAAAAGCCCTTCTCTCCACCTGCAATCATCTTTTAAAGATGTAGAAGGAATATAAGCCCCATGCTTTGGGACACAGACCTGATGCTGGCTGACAAGGGGTTAAGAAGACATTTTCTTTTTCTCTAAGAACAGGTACCTTAGCTTTTCAAGGTGTTTTTCTTTGTTGGTACTAATAATAAGTGCTGTTGAAGCCATGGTGAATTACCTGATAGCCTTGTGGAATAAGAACAATTTTCTCTCTTCTTATTGCAGCAGTGTTAACCACAGTGTACTGCCAAAAAGAGGAGATGCATCAAAAAAAAAAAAAGACTTAAGTTACAACATATGCCTGCATAAAATTTGCATATGCTAATGTCTAACCTTAGTTGCATATTTAGAAATAATGGATGACATCCTGTACAAGGATTTCTAAGCTAGTGACAGATCTGTACTGTGTTCAGTAATACTTATTGTTGTGTGCCTTCAGGTCAGTTCCTACTTAAGGCAACCCTAAAGTGATCCTATAATGGGGGGAGGGGGTTTGCCAAAATTTGTTTAGAGGGGGTTGCCTTTGCCTTTCTTGGAGAGAATGTGACTTGTCCAAGTTCACCCAGTGGATTTCCATGGCTGAACAGTGAATCAAACCCCGGTCTCCAGAGCAACAGTCCAACACTGAAACCACTACACCACACTGGCTCTCTACTATGTATTCATAATTGTGACACTATTGCCATGATCATAAATGCCTCCCTCTGCCATCTTCCTTACCAGCCAGCAACTACATTGAACAATTTAGGTCTGTTCAGTTAGCAATCTGGGTGCAGAAGAATGACATTTCCAGCCCCTTCCCAATAGTGAGTGAGACTGTGACAATCAGACTGCATCAGGACCCCTTGTTGCAGCCTCACTCAGTGCAACTGTTGGTTGTTAAAGTGGGGTTGGTGAGGCTGGTGAGTTAAGGTGGAGATCCAGCCAGGAATATGGTTGCTGGACAAGCATGGATTGGAGAGTCTAAAAAATGTCCCATCCCAGCTGGGCATTTTGGACCCACCAATCCTAGATTCCTGCCTTGTTTCAGGCCACATTTTGTCAATCTCCAGTTGGACTGGAGATTGACAAAATGTGTCTGGAACAAGGCAGGAATAGCTGGCTGAGCTTGGCCTCGGCTCCACCTCCTTCCCTCCTGAGTCACTTCTCCTAATTGGCATGTGGGCCGGTGGCCAAGATGGTGGCTGCCAGCCCCAAGCCCTCCACTGTGCTCCCCACAGAGCCAGAGACAGTGCAAGAAGGAGGCCTGCTTCCAGGACAGGTATGGAGAAGAAAAAGAGGGAGTCCTCCAGTACAGTTCAAGGTCTCCTCTGGACCTGGCTCCAGTGCAGCTGCCACATAAAGACTTGGCCAACCAGCTGAACTCACTGTCCTCCAGCACAGTGGCAAAGCCTCCTCCGGACCCTGGGCCCAGTGCAGCCACTGTGCAGGGATTTGGCCAGCTAGTCAAGCCCCATGTCCTCCAGCGTTGCCACCATTGCTGCCTCCAGGGCCTGGCAGGCCTTGTTGGGGGAACTGGGGGGCTAGACCACACTGCTGCTGCCACCAGGGCATGGTAAGGCCTCACTGGGGGGCTTGAGCATGACTAAGATTGAAACATGCATTTATATTAATGTTTTTTTTAATTTTATTAATGATTTTGGCTTTTAGTTAGTTGTATCCTCCATTTTTCTTGAATGGTCTACATTTTGTCCCAGTTTTGTGGTAGAGAATTATGGCAACCCTAGCCAGGAAGCATTACTTAGGCCTGGAACAGATGAGCAGGAAGGCGTAGCCTGGGATTTGTACTTTTGTGAAATATTTAGGGCCTCTGCAGATGGGTGGCTCTGGTCCACCTCGGGAAGCAGCGGATTGGGGCTGCGGCAACCCCACACCACTGCCCCGATCCTCCCTTTTGCCGCCCCGAAAAGAGCGGCAAAATGCCACTCCTTTTAGGGGCAGCAAAAGGCCACCCTAAGAGCCAGCGTGTGACTCTTCCTTGCCCTTTTTGGCTCAGTGTGTCAGAACACTGCACTGGGAGGGCGTCCTGATGCCGTGTGCTGTGCATAATGGTGTGTGGTGTCAGGAGGGCGTCAGCATGGGGTTGGGGCAGCCGACGTGCGGCTGGCCCACCCCAACTCTACCTCCAGGCCGGCCTTTTGGGCTGGTCTGCAGAGGCCCTTAGCCTTCTCTGTCAGAGAACTCTGGTGCCACAACAAACTACAGATCACAGGAAGTATCCTCTATCAGACCCTTTCACCCATTATTTTCAGCCTTCCTCATGTCCTGGGTCTTTATGCGATATTCACATAATTACATTCTCCAGTGTTTCATAGGTCATCACAGCCTCTGTAGCCCATGTTGGCTTCCAGCAATTTGATATTAAAATATGGCTGGATCATAGGGATATTGGGGCCTTTACAGTTTGTGGGAACCTTCTCTGTTTCCCACAAGTGGAATTATGGAGATTGTGAGAGGGGCTTTTCCACTGCAGTGCAACTCAGAAGTGAAATAGCCTCCTCTTGGAGGACCAATTGATACCAGTGCTGTCTTGAATCCAGTGCTAAACTAAAACATAACTTTTATCACAGTTATTGGGGGTCTAATATTTTTGCCTAGATCAATGCAGGTACATTTTTTTAAAAAAAGTTTCAATTTGCATTAATTGTAAAAATTTGTTTGATTTCAGTTATTAAATTATTTTCTTTAATGAATCAAAATGATTGTCAACTAAATGAAAACTGAAATTTTAAAATTAAATTTAGGATTTAAACTATGTTCAACAGCTTGGCACCTTTAAATTGTTTTCAAATGTATGTATCTCTGCACTGACTTGAGACTTTATGACATAGTGTGGGATGTAAATACAAATATTATAAATAAATAAATAAATAAATAAATACACCTTGAAAAGAAGGGTTGAACAGATCAATATATTTCCCATCCATGTCAGTTTTGAATGAATTTGTTTATGCCTATTTTCATGCTTTTTCTCCATTTTTCTGCATATCTGTGCAGGAAAAAAAATCATTATTTTAAACATATTTTTACAAGATCTGCATTTTTGTATTCAAAACTCAAAAATATGCATTTTAATACGCACTTATGAATTTTACCCTAAAACACATTTGTCTGTGCCCTTTTTCCTATTAAGTCCATTTTTATATGCATTTTAACCTGAAACATGTTATTTCAGAATTCATTTGGATATGTTAGTTGACCCAAGAACAAAAGACGTCAAGATGTTTTATTGGGAGATGTACATGAATCATGCAGTTATATATCAGTAGCTTTTTATCCTGATGCTAACTCACCCCGCCCCCCCCAAAAAAAACCCCACACATTGTAAGCAGCCCAGCCGACCCCTAACACAATAATTTCTGTGTTATTAGAGAGAAAGGGGATCAGTAGGGATGATTCCAACTGGATACACTGCAATAGACAACTGAAGGGACCTTCACGGATCTTTAAGACACTCCTGCAGGTGATGTTCTTCCAATGCCTGCACCTCCAGGGAAGAAGCAGCATCCATTCCAGCTGATCATCTTCACCCCACATATTTTCAAGCATAGAAATAGCAATATTGAGGGAGCTGTATAGTTTTCAAACAGTAGCATCACTAGGGTTAGCATCACCCGATGCTGTACCTCATGGTGTCACCCCCATCCCAGTTGACTTCCTCTCATGCCACACCATACAGAATCCTCAGTAATGTGGTTTTTGTACTAATGTTAGTCGTAAATCCTAATCCCCATATTTCCCTGAATGTAATGGTAATAGTTGTAACATGAACAACTAGCAAAATTAAAACTGTACCTTTAAATTACAATATCATATGCTCAGCCTAAATATATTTACATGTACATAGTTTCCTGTGGTTAATATTAAAATCTGGTAAGCTCTGGGGGGGGTTAAGGAAAAATTTAAAGGAATTTTTTCCAAAAATAAATAAATAATATTTTCAATTAAAATTAATTTTTATTTAAAAAATTTAAATTTAAAAAATTACAAAACATTTCTCCTCTCACTGAGCCTCGCCCCACTCACATCATCTCTTCATTGTAAAGGAATGCAGGTGAACATCATAGCCAGTTTCTGCCCAAAAGCACACGTGTCACCCTTACCTTAGCCTGTCACCTGGTGTGGCCTGCACCCCCCCTGCACACCTCCCCCCCCAGTGAGGCCCCTCCATGCAAAGTGTGGTTTTGGAGGCATTATTTTTATTGTTGTGCAGCCATAAAACAATTCTTACCGCCACAATAACCAAAGGAATTATTTATGATGGCATACGTCCAGCTTATTCATCAACAGAATTTGCCAGAATTTGTAGAAGTGTAAAGCACCACCCTCTACAGTCGGTTACGACTAGACATACATGTCAAGGGACTACCTTTACCTTTACCTTTACCTTTTTAAAAACTGATGATGACTGCATGCTGAACCACATATTAGTCCAGCAAATCTGAATTAGGGTGTATCTATACTGTACAAATAATGCAGCTTGATACTACTTTAATTGCTGTGGGTCCAACCTATAGAATCATGGGATTTGTAGTTTAGGGAGGCACCATGACTTTTTGGCAGAGAAAGCTAGAGATGTTGTAAAACTACAAATCCCAGAACTCCATAGTATGAAGCTACAGCACTTGAAGTGATATGAAACTGTATTATTTCTGCAAAGTAAATTCACCCATAAAAAAGCAAGTCAAGCAGAATTATTGAGCATTTCTATAAATAATAGGATTGGACCTTCAGATCTCATCTTCCCCTTATGATGATATAGAATGAGAAGATGGTTTATTGCTCCTTGTTCTGGAATCTCTCTGCTTTTCCTCTGGAGTTTATCACATGGGACAATTGGAAATATAAACAGTGATTAACCCGTGATAATTCCACAATTGTGCTAATGGTTTTCACATGACGTTATGTTCAAAGTGATATTATCCCATGAATAACCCATTATTATCATGCAGCTGTGCTAGTTTTCATATGACGTTGAGGTGAAACGTGATTAAAATGCCATTAACCCCTGAATAACCAGACAGAAAACAGCAGCAAATCATTCACAGGATTTTCCCATGAATGGCCTTTTGCTGTTTATTGCCTGGTTATTCCCTGGTTATTCACAGGATAATGGCTCTTGTGTTAATCTCATTTTAATCACATTTTAATGTCAATTTCTCGAGTTAATCACTGTTTAAAGTCCCATTTCCCACCATGTGATAAACTCCTCGGACGACTTGCTTCCACTAGGTGCATGGATATCCAGTGATGGCATAATCTATAATGAAACACCAGGGGGACTTCATCCATTGAAAATAACTTTTTCAGATATACCACAACATTCTGGTATTGATTGCTGTTTACCTACTGTTAGTATATATGAATTTCCTTCTGGAATGAAAAGCATGGTATAAATATTAAATAAAACATGGAAATTAAATATACATGAAATCTATAATGCACTGGTAACAAGGGAAGGGGAAAATATTAAAATAAGTCACTTTGGGCTTCTAATATTTCTCTAATAACCAATATCACTCACAATATCCTTAACGGTATCCATAACAACTACTGCTGCCCATAGATATTTTAATTGCATCTATTTTAGAATTGTTAGTGGTTCATTTTGACAAGAGAAAAAAGCACTCTTGACAAAAGTCATCATG